ACTATTTATAAGAAGAAATGACAATGATCAGGAATTACCCCAGTGATCAATAATTACCCCATTTGTAGGGGGCAACATTTGATATAGTTTCCTATAATCAATTATAATGTTTACAGTAGATGTGAAACAATTAAACAAAAGCTTTCACTATTTTTATATCAAAGAAAAAGAAAGTAACTCAAAATATTTATTATTAAGAGAAGGAGGGGGATCTTTGCAGAAATGTGCACATTTTGAAACCCATCTTTGAAATGGAAAATACAGAGAGCAGTTTAAAAGATACTTATTTTGTTAGATTAAACAAAAAACTATTATTAACTAAATGTAGTTATACTTTAGTAAAGAGTACAATCATTCTTGTCCATGTCTCAAATTTTAAAAAAAATTATTTTTTTAAAATAAAACTTAGATGATCATTATTTACCCCAGAAACAGAGTGATCGTGAATTACCCCGGGTCACCCTATTTGTTTTTTTCATAAAAATAAAGGTAAAGATTACAAATGTACAAGAAAATTTTAATGTTTTTTTTTTGTTCTAAAGATGTAATTGTAGATCTGTCTAATCAAACGATACTTGATTCATATCTTAAAAACAAAGTATTGCATTACATATTATTTTGTAGAAGAAAGGTTTTGAAACTTCTAGTGTATTCTCAAATATCTTGCTTATCCAGAATTTTGAAATTTTGAGAAGGTTGATAAAGTTTTTGTCTCCAAAAATAGTTGTAAATTTGGGGACTGTTTCATTGTCAATGGGAGTGCCTTTCCTACACTGCAATTCATTATGCACTGTTACGCTAAGCAAAGTTGTCTGAGTGAAATTTAGATTTTAAAGAAAATGGTGCAAGATAACAAAAAAATAACCACTGTTTTTTTTTTTTTTTNAAAACTTATAGAGCCCTTAACTGAGAGGCAGATGCCCTGCTTTTTTTTTTTTTTTTTTTTTTTTTTTTAAAGTTCAAAAATATACAATAAACCCACATTTTTCATGGTATTTAATATCTTTCATGAACTGAATGAAAGTTCGATCTATAATAATAAAGTGAAGAGTGGAATGTCTGTGATAAATATGAAGAGCGAGAATGGGAAATTTATCTGGTCACCACTCGCCACTAGAGATAAGTCAGGGTTCCCACAGTCCTTAAAAGTTCTTAAAAACAGCTTAGTTTTTATTTTGAAAATTAAGGGCCCTTAAAAGTATTTAATTTTGATTTAAGGGTTTTAAAAGTCCTTAATTTCTAGTATCACTAGTTGGTCAATTATTTAAATATCCACAAGATATCGACAGTTAAAAAGTATGTCTTTTGTCAAGAATGAGATCCTGCATCGAGGGTAGAACATTTTGAATGTGTGTGCGTGTATGTAGGGGTTACAATCAATTGGACGAAAATACACCCTTATTATTTGTTTATTTTTTTCATTAAAATATTATTTCTTTCTGGATAAAAAAAATTTAGCGTGGGCAAAGGGGAGCGTGATACTGCAGTTGGCTCTTGACTCTTTTTTAGACAATACTTAGGTACTTTATCTGCTGAAGACCTGCATTTACCTTCTACATCCATAGGATTCGAGAAATACAATTCTTCTGATAGCACACATGGTAGCTTTAATACTTCATTCAAATGTGAAATTGTTAGAAATGCCAGGGAAGTGTGTTTTTAATAATTAATGGACACTTGATGAAAAATATAAGGAATGGCTAACAGCATCTAGTGATCGTCACAAGGCAAAGTGCAAAAGATGTGGTAAAGAGTTTGATATTGGAAGCATGGAGGAAAGTTAATGCATTTCTTTGTAACTAAGTTATTTAAAATCAGAAGTAATTAAAAAAAAAAAATTGTGAAAAGCCAAAAATATGCTCATAAACAAGATTAATGGACAAATAGTAATAATTCATTTAAGAGAAATGTATATCAGCATACTATTATTGATGCTAATGATGCTTGATTAATTCTGGTAATAGGAACTGATTGATATATTAAAAAAATCAACAATTCAATAATGCCCATACAAATTTTGAATCCACGATTTTTTTTAATATTAATTAATAATGCTAGTAGAAATTGGAAAATTCAATAGTTCCAATTTAGGGATAGTTTACTATACTATTTACGTATATGGTTCCAGCATATAGCTTTATCCATAGGTTTCATTGCTTAAAACTTATTAGAAATTCATTTATTCTGTAGGTGCAATTAGTATATTTGTGCATAATTTACTCAATTTTAATAGCTATCAGTTTTAATTTAGATACTATTGAAAGAAATTTTTTATGGACCCTCGAAAAGGAAAATTACCAAAGAAAATAACTTGATTGTGGTAAATTTCGACTATCAGGAGTTAACTTCAAGCAAAATAATATACTGAATATACAAATGATACAAGCATGCTAAATGATACTGAATAAAGTGATTCTTTATTTTGATGGATGAACTACAAAGAACATGTTTTGCTTAATCTAATAATGTAAAGTCATCAGCAAGGACAAAAAATATTTAAAAAAAAAAAAAAGAATTATTACAGCTTTATTAATTTCTGCAATTATGTGTGTATGATTTTGTAGTGTTGTTGAGTACTGTTTTATTGTTTACTTTTTTTTCCACCTTGTTTGAAGGATGGGTATTCATTTAATTTTATGATATTTTAAGGGATTTCTATAAAAAGTGTTCATATTTTTTGGAGAAACATTTTTAAAATAGGCATTTATAGAGCACATTTAGTTTTTAACACACACTGGAAATTATGGTTTTTAATAATTAAATTAAATTACATAATTTTTCTTTAACCTGTCTTCACTTGATTATTATTTGTTTTAGGCTCATTGGAGAGATGTTGATTAGAGACCCGGATAAAAGATCATCTTTGGAGCAAATAGCTAATGATCCTTGGTTGAATAGCGGAGATGCAATCCAGCCTGCTGATCACTTGCCTTTGATTTCAAGAGAACATCTCTCAGACGAAGATCATGCTCATATTGTACAGAAAATGGTTAATGGAAACATTGCTTCAAAAGAAGAAATAATTGAGTATGTTTTTTTCCCTCTCCTTTCTTTTTATGAAACTTAGCTCTTTTATTGTGCCGGACGAGATGACTCACCTTCCAGGAATACTCGCAGTGCTCTACTGTTGTATTAGTGAATATAGTTATTGACTGCTATTGCTTATTATTTTTTAAAGTAAAGTCATTCTGAAGAGTTTTATTTCAATTTTAGTGCTGCAAGGGAACTCTAAGCGCAGAGGGTACTTGCCGTGCGTCATTGCTGCGATGAAAGTGTTAAATTAGTTTTACATTAGTTTAATCAAAAAGATATACATGACGCTAAAAATTTCATTTGCTCAAAAAAATTGTGAATATAGTAAAAATCTACAAGTTTTAAGTGCTCAAAAATAGGTATCCATCACTTACTACAAATCTTGAAAATGGGCACTCATTTTTGAGCAAGCGAAGCTGTTTGACTTTTACTACCTTAATAATTTTTTCAAGCTAATGAAGTTTATATTCTGTATAAGCATGCTTGTTTTTATATTTCTGTCTTTTTTTTGTTCAACAGGTCAGCATACTACAAAAAAAAAATGTTCAGGTATAGATAAGTAATGAAACTGAAGTTAAGGTTTGCAATCTTGTAAGATGTTAATGTGTTAGTGTACTGTCCCAATTTAGCGTTAGTACCAAAATTTGGGAGTTTAACCTTAGATGACTAAACTATTTTGTCATTCTGTCATCCTAGTTTTGAAATCTATTTTTAAGAATCTAGAAAATATTTAAAAGTTATTAAAAATGTTTAAGTGCAAGGTGTTTAATAATTGTAAGGGTTTTATCTTCAACATACATTTGTTACTTTTATATTTTTTGTGTCATTATTTTTAACCCTTTAACAGACTGTATACCACATAATATTCTTTTTAACATTCTTTCCAAAAGTCACACAAGAAATAGTTTTGATTAAATAATTTTAGAACTGTAATTTTATGGATTCATAATGTGTACAGTACAGGGATATGAATAGACTAGTTTATCAGGTCATTTTCAATAAATGGGTTGACTTTTATTAATACACATAGTTGCCAACCCTACTAAATTTTTCTAGTTTCTCCTGGTTTAAATAAAATTTTCCTGGTTTTTGTGCATCTTAAAAAATTCAGTGAAAATGAAGTTTCCTGAAGAAAAAAACCCCCACCAAAATACAATTTTTATATTGATTATTGCTTGCTTACTTAAATAAGTATTACTAATACATAAAATTAGTAATACTTATTTAAAGCAAGCCTCATTTATTGAAATCAGTTAAAAGCTTTTTTTGTTCTAAAATGTTCAGTTTATTATCAGGACAGTTTATTTTTAATTAATGAAAAAATCTTGTAACAATCTTTGATGAATTAAATGCCTATTAATATTCAAAATTATGATTAAACATAATACGTAACAATTCAAGTATGTTTAATGTCAATCATAACTGGAAAAAATTGCAGTCTTTATATTTTGATGACTATAAAAATCACTAAAATACCCTATGTGTAAGTGTGTTTAGTACATTCAAATTAATATTATTTCGTAAAATCTACAGAATTTTTTCCTATCCATGTTGACGCATTTGAATACAGTTTTCAACTGTCTCTTTATGGCTTCATTCGCATAAATCTTTGACCTTTAGGGGGAAAAAAAGTATTAAGACATTAAACTGCCTGATTGCATGGTCTGATTGCCAAGAGAGTAAATTACGTAACAGTATAGGGTTATGTAAAAGATAGTTTATCAGGTCATTTTGAATAAGTGGATTGGGTTAACTTCCATTAATACAGTTCTCAATTTTCTCCTTCAATTCATGGGTGATTATGGCTTTGTTGACGTAAATCTTAGACTCATGAAACAGAAAAAAAAAGCCTGAAGACTTTAAATTGTGTGATTGGCTTGTTTTGTTCACCAAAATGGTAAATTACACAACCAGGGAATTTCTAACAATACTCAACCAGAAAAAATTTGAAAACACCTTCTGTAGTGCTGCATTTTTAATCACCAAAATTTTCATATTTTATTTTTTTTATTTGCAGCATTTAATTGCGCAAATCACGTGAAATTTAAATCTTGCGTGAAATTTGCAACCCTTTTTACATCAAGATTCTTAAAAATAATGCAAGATCTTTAATTTCTTGCTGAAAATTTGTGCATATTTTTTCAAGTAGCTTGTCATTTTGATCTGATATACATATGAAATAATCTGACACGAAAGATATAAAATTGTAGAAGAACATTTTATTTGGAAGTTGTGGAGGCATTCTTAATTTGGTTACCTCTTAATGTAGAATAAAGCTTCAAAAGCACTACATGGTTAATTGTTTTGGTTATGTTAGTTTTACTTCATTAATGGCATGGTTTTGGTTAATTTTTTTATTCAACTGTTATGGTATTAAATTATTATCAAAAACTGATCTAAAATTGTCTCTCTCTTTTTTTAGTAACAGTATATGCCTAAATTTTCTATTTCAAATAGTATAAGTTTTTCTCTCTCCTTAGAAGTGTGGTATAATTCATTAAGCATTAAGAGTTGATTAGTTAGATTTGTGCACTTCTGTTTTATTTTATATTGTATATGTTAAAATGAGTAACACTTATAAATATTCTGCAGTTTGAAGAGTATTTTTGAGTTTGGTATTGCATGCATATGAAGTTTATCTTATCTTATCATAATGTTTTAATTTTCTATTACATATGTAATTTAATGTAACTTCTAACAATGGTTGCTTCATTGTCTCTAAATGTAAGTTGTTGGTGAAATCAAATTATTCAGGTGTATTGATATTGATTAATTTACCAATTATGGTGTTGTGAGAAAGGAATTTTATTTAAACAGATGTTTGGCTGATGCATAAACAATCAAAAATATAAAACAAAAAATATTTTATTAAAACCTCTCTTTGCTACTCATAGAAGAATTGTAGCACTAACCTTTAAAAGCAGCACTGATTTCTGCATACGATTTCTTATTTTATAAATGTCATTCGTCAATATTGTAAACTTGTCTTTTAATTATAATGTTCAGTTTTATTATTTCAAAACATTGAAAGGTGATGGGGCATAAATTAATCACATGTGCACATTACTTTAATCATTAGCGTTGACAATCAATATCAATGCATTGTTTTCAATAAAACCATCTTTAAAATCTTGCAGCAAAAAGTGTTGTAAGTCTGTCAGAATGAAAATTGTACTCTGATTGGGTTAGATTGACGTCTACTTTTCATGTCTTTTCAACTTGAACTGTAAACCTGTGAAAAAAAGGCGATCATTGTTAGTCCAAATTATGTACAAAATTAGCTGCCTTTTGTGTGTCCAACCTTTTTAGGTTAGCCAATTTTCATTAAATTTCAATTTAACAGCATTTATCTATACTGAAACTATTTAATCTTACATATCATCTAAGTAATTTTTTTTTTATTTCATACAAAGAGCTGTTAATTAGTTTACCTCAGTTTTAAAACCTTCATTACCAAATTAATAAATTTTTTTATTAATCGAAGAGTCAAATTAAAATATATATATTTTATTTTAATTTAATTAAATATATATATATAAGATGAATCAAAGAATTATGAAAGAAATTGTTTTTTAAGATGTATTATAAAATGAAATAAATATCCAGTGTTTCTATTTAGATTCAAAACCATGATATTAATTTAAAACGTCCAGATGTAAATCTATTTAAAAAAAACTGTATGCAAGTATATTTACCCACACTAACTTTATAAAGTAAACTAAGAATTGTTTTTAATTAGATCAACTACTATTTAGCTAACTAAACAAATTTTGAAACCAATTAATTATTTAACTAAGTAAACTAATTATTTTAGTTTGATAAGAGCATAAATATAGCAGAAATCTTTTAGGTCACAACCCGGAATCTTGAAATTTCCATTTTATATACTTAGAAAAAAAAAGATATCTGCTTCTTAATTATAAGAATGGTTTTGATATTAATCGTATGGGAATGTCTTTCTTGTGTTTTCTATTGAAGATTCTTAGGGGAGGACCTTAGTAGGTATGCTTTCAAATGTATGCTGCGAATTAGTATAAAGAATATGCAAATGTTAAGATTATATAACATTTTGGGAAATCTTATTCTATTATTTTACAGCTTTATAAGTACCTTTCTTGAAAAATAGCGTACTTTTAGGATGCTGATAAGGACTATTAAGAGGTGTTTTGGACTAAATATTTTAATACTATAATTATATGTTTGCCAATGATGTATTTTACCCTGATTACATATCCTAATGAAAGCAAAGGCAGCTAGCAAAAATAGAGGATAAATTCAAGAAATTTATAGAAATGTTATTTTTCCCCCCTTTTGTAATTGAGAAATACTGGTGTAAAAACTGGCAAATAATTTTGAAACACTGTGTTTAAATTATTAAAGATATCAAAACACAGAAAAATAAATAATTTATTTACAATAAATTACTTTTTCAGATTAAGCATAGATCTTAGAATTGTCAATAAGTTTTAATAGCTTGTGGTTCCTCTTTACTCATATTACTTTATAAAATATAAGGGGTTGAAATTTAAAGAAGGCAAAGATATGCTTTTCTTGCTTTCTTGTATTGATATTAGATTGATATATAATTATGTTGTCTTCATTTAAACCTTTTTCCTATAATATTGTTCACCTAAACAACCTAAAAATATATTTCCTTAAAAGATATTTGTCGTAATGGCAGAAGATTTTTAGTTTCTTACTTGTTGGGAAATTGTCGCAATAACTAACTTCTATAGTTATATGTAGTCCTTCTTAGATTGAGTTTGACTGTTTAATAGACGCGATATTATGTTTGAGCTTGGCATGGTATCCATATTTTGGCATTAAATCCGGCCTTAATGAGTCAAAATGCTTTTAGTATGATTAATAGTAAGAAACAATTCTATATTATTAAATGGTGTGCAATTGGGACTGTAACTTATGTATATGTTTTCTTCTTTGCTATGATCAATAAAAACAATAACATGTAGCAAATGTGCAATGGTTGGAAAAACTACATTACTTAACTTACACCTATGTTCAAAATGGTTTTGAATTAGAAATTGGCTTACGTTAAATATTAGGGAATAGTTTCGAAATATTTATTCATGCTTAAATGAGCCAGTTTATTACTCCAAAACATGTTTTTTTTTTTCTTTCTTTTTTTTTAAAATTTGTTCATTTAACCTTCCACTTTTTATGACTTTCTTGATAGACAATATTTTATTTAAGAAATGCCAAATTATCAAATATTAGCAATTTTTTAATGCTCTTTTATTCTTCTAAGAAATTAAGTACATTGAAAATATGTTCTCTTCCTTTTAAATAACTCCTTTCTCAACTACAGCTATAGGGTCCTTTTCGTTGTATTCATTGATGGACCCGCGAAGATTTGTACCCATCAAGTTAGATAAATTAGTCGCATGAAAACAGCATTTAATTTCTAAACTAACTTTAAAAGTAAACGGAATCACTACAAGCTACTTTTTTTTTGTATCATTGCACTATACTACTTTTTTTGAAAAAGTAGCACATTACACTAAAAATTACAAAACAAATGTAACGACTGCAGTAGTTTTATTACTTGTAGTGGGCTACTTCCTACCACTGCAAATAATGTACTTGAGATTCAAACCCAGGTTCTCATTAGATGCTCAAGTCAAGTGGGGTTTTATAATCTGTTACCATAATACGCAAAAAATAGTATATTTATTCTTGAATTTTCTAAATAAAGGTTCATGTGTAATGATGTAATATAATCCTTTTAACTCTGCATTTCCTCTGTCATTTAAAACTCAAATCAACAAGATTTCTTCAATAGCAAACTGATTGATTATCTCATTCTGAAAGTTTTTTTGTTCAGTTTTATGTTATAGGGGTGATTGTGCTCCGGAAAAATTTCGGATTTTTCGCTAACTGCGATCCGAAAGTTTCCGGAAATCCAAAGTCCAGAAGTTTCAAGACATCATCGATCACATTTATGTATGAAAATTCTTGTATATTTTATTAAAAAAATTAGAACTAGAATTTATACTTGGCATCTCTTTCATTTGTAAATATTTTTTCTGGTAGAATAATAAATGTGATTAGAGATAAAAGTAAACTTACACATAATTATTCATTTAAATTATGCTGCATATAATTCATGTTGAATATCATGTATTGAAAATTTCAATGATTTAAATTTATAAAGATAGTAATTTTTTGAATGATTTTACTCAAGAAATTTTCAGGATTTTTGAGTTGGGCCCACAATTACCCCTGATGTTAAAAATGTGGAATGTAATTCAATTTGAAATTGAAGTGGTGTTACTAAGATTGTAACACTGTTTCAAAGTGAATTGCAGGATTTTCATTTTTTCCATGTTGTATAACAAATTTAATATTACTTAATATGGAAAAACTATGTTATGTAGAAAAAATTTTTTGCAAATTTATTAGTTCAAATGTTTCACAGTTTTGTATTCAAAACATTACGAACTGTTATTATTTTTGTAGTTTTACCATGTGTCTTAACTTGTTTTATACACTCTAGAGCTCTTGATAAGAATGAGTATAATCACATCACAGCAACATATTTTCTTCTGGCTGAAAGAAAGCTGCGAGCCCAACGTCAAGAAAGAGCCCAAATGATTAACAGCCGAATTTCTAGGACAGATTTATCACCAGTTGCACTCACACCCAGGTAATGTTTGATTTTCCTTAAGAGAGCTGTCTATACTATATTATTAATATATTTTGATGTTACCTATATTAGCTGGTATAGTTTTATAGTAAAATTGAACTTTCAAAAATACTTTAAAAAAACAATTTTTTAAAGTAATTTTTAGTATTTATTTTTGTACATAATTCACTTTGGAGATTGTTTGTGATAGGGTTAAGATTTTTCAGATTTTTTTTTCATTTTGACTTTCAAAATTTTTTTATTTTCAAAAGAACTGATTTTTCGATCAAATTTTCTTATGTTTGAAGGTTCAACTGTTTAAAATGAAAAGTTTTTATTTGTACCTATTTTAAAAGGTAAGCAAAATATATGCACTGTTATTCGTAATAAGTATTGATTTTTCATTCGGAATTAAAACTGCCCAAATTTACTAAAGCTGAAATGCCTGCATTATTGGAAGTTAATTCAAAAGTGTATTTAGTGTGTGAGGCCTCCTTTTTGTTACTAGAAAGTCTAGAATGGAGGCAAAATGACCAGACAACTATTTTTATAAAATCTAGATATTGAATTTTTGGTATACTAAATTTGCTACGAATTTGAAATTTAATTGCCATAACATTTCGTTAGAAATATTGGAATTATTAAAAAACAAAAATAAAACATGTGTAATTAGCAAAAAAAAAGAAGAAAAAAAACCAACAAAAAATCGAAATGTAATTGAATGCATTAAGAAGTGATGAAGGGAATTCAAAGTTATTGTCTCATAAAAATATCTCAGGCTGAAAAATTACCTTGATTTTTACAAGGAATTGGTACAAATGGAAATTTTTTCTTATAAGTACTTTAAACAGGCTACAAAAGAATCATTGATTAGTTTTCATTTTTTGAACAGGGTTTTATTTAAATTTTTAGATCAAATTTAAATGTCCTTTATTATCAAATTTTTTGATAAAAAATATTTTTTAAATTTTTTTTAAAAAATCTATACATTAGTGTTTCATACTGTGTATACTAACCAACTTTTCAACATATAATTTGTAAAAGGAATTTACCTACTTTTATTTCGCTTACAAATTAGCATTAATGTGGTTAATTTTATGCTTTATTCATCTCCTTTTTATACTTAGTATATAATTTCATTATTAATTGTTATCCTATAAAATTTAATCAACTTTGTTTTGTTACTCCTAAATAACTTGTATAGAATTTCGCTTTTTATGCATCTAATCCCTTCTATGAAAGACAGATCAGGATATCAGAATTTTGTCCAATTTCGAACTTACAGAAAGAGACATCATTTTCGCAACAAACTTCTATCATTAACAAAGTTATAATCTCCTCACACTTTAGATGCGAAAGATCGAAAATATTAAATGGAAATGTTCAGTTTTGGTGTTTTACCATTTATTGTTAAACTGAAAGAGATGTTTTTTTGTAAACATTTTTGATTTTATTGTCCTTCATTCTGTTCTTCGTTCACAAATGTTTGCATAGCTTTTACAACACCCAAAACGTACAAAATTCTTATATTTTTCATTAAAAAAATCTTTTTTCTAATGAGAATGAGTTTAAAAATAATAATAATTCCTCATTATAATTTGTGCGTTCTTTTAAATGGTTTTAAAATGAGTGAAAATTCCAGAATTTTGAAAATTTTGTGTGTCGTAATAATATCTTATTAAATAATTACACAATGGTATCATTACTAAAAAGCGATTAATTACAACCAAAAAACAACCTGGAAAACGATCAGAACACCGCATGGGATTTACAAAAATAATTGATGCGCATAACCCATTTTTTCCCCCTTCAGAGCTTGTAATCAGGTTCGAAAGACATATGGGCGAGATTTTTCATTCAAATAGCAAACAGGGAGGCCCACCCTGCACTGTATATCAAATGTGTTAAATTATGCATGTATTGCAATGGATGGGAACCTTGATTTTTATTAATAATAAAGACTTTTAAAGTAAAAGGCATAATTTTTGATTTTTTAAATTGTTGTTGGTCTTACTATATCTAAAAAGATTCCCCTTAGAGAGAAAATAAGGTTTGTCAATTTTCAGTAGAAAATATAAAGGTAGATCAAGCTACTCAAATTTTAAAGTTTGCAATGTAAGTAATTAGTGATAACTTGCAAATCCAAACAAAGCAATTTTAATATCCTCTTACTTAATGCTGTTAAGTGAAAGAAATTATAAATGGTTAATTTGATTAAAAAGTTAGTAAATAATAATTTATTGAAAATCTAATTACTTTCTCCCATTGATGGATCTGGGGCTGGGTCAATAGAGTATGCTCCTCTTTATTCCTTAACTACTTGCATTAGGAGTATAAGTTTGAGACTGATCTTTTCTTTTAATCATGTGAACTGTTGAATAAGAGCAATGTTATGTTCAGCATAATCATTTATAACTTCCATACATTTTACAGTTTTGGGGGCTTGATAGAAATCTCTATCTTTCCATATAATTAGATCAACATCAAGGAATTCACATGGATGTTCCATCTGTTTAAACAACACAATTGATTCCACTGTCACAAAATCTTCAATTTTTTTTCTCTGAAAGCTTAAAGTATACCATAGTTTGGAAGATTATTTTGACTTTTTTACTTATTTCATAGCCTTTATCATAAACTGTTTTATAAGAACATGCACGTACATTACTGTCCGATAAAGCTAATGCTATAAGATCTTTATATCAAAGATGCTTTGCTAGTTTTTAAGACGCAGCTTTGGAAATGCTGGTATTTATAACAGAATTATCCAGAAGTATTTTGAGCAACCGAAAGTCATGAGGTGCATCAGATGCTATCAGAGCAGTTAACCAGTTATTAACGTATACTCGAACTACAAATATGCATAAATCATTCTCAATTGATTTATGCACCATATACACAATCAGTTTGATCCCTAACTTACATCGAAAGTTGACCATAATATGATGGGGACATGCAAAGTACAAAACTTCTTTTTCAAATAGAGCAGAGGCGTCATTATATTGACCAGTGTTTGAGCTTGTTCCAATCATTTCATAAATAGCAGATGGTAATGTAGTAACAGTAGTGTAGCACTGTAGTTTGGATACTTTGCTTCCAGAAACTAAAATAGGTAACTGATAAGCTTTTTTATTCCTAGTTAGTTTAGGTAAAAGTTTATCATCCCAGTGCCCAGTTAAAAGAACATGCCATTTAAATTTCTTTTTAAGTATGTGAGATAATTAGACTTTGTACTCAATCTTCAATGTGCTGACCCAGGCCTTTTGTAATTTCTGCAATGACAAATACTGCTTTGCTATCTGATATTTTAGTATGGTCTAGTGCAGAGACAACTGTGGTGACAAGATATTAAATTGTCCTCTCTTAGACTAAGTTGTTGAAAATGAAATGTCTGTTTCATTAGTGATCAGTGTTACAGCTTTTATCTGTATCATCATCAGATGATGTTAATGCAACAGTTACTTCACTTTTTTCTCTCCCAAACTTTCCTTCAGCAATCTTTTCTTGCAACATCTTATCTCTGATTTTTGTTTTATTTTAGAAAGAACTTTGCCAATAATACCTATCATTGAGCCTCTTCTGCCTTTCTCTTGTTGTGCAAGCAAAAATTCTGTCTTCAGATACTTTTATTATTTTGAATGCATTGGCATTTGACTGTCAGAGAGGTAGTCTATTTTTAAAATAAAGTATTCTTGCTGGTTCTTTTGTGTAACTCATTCTAATCTTCTTTAAAAGTCTTTCTCTGGCTTCTTGCCAAAATATTGTAGACTCACAAATAATTGCATTTATATAATGGTGAAGAAAAAGGCCTAGAGCTCTTTGCAAAGATGGCAATTTGGAGTCATTTAAGTCTGTCACAGAAGAACCCAAGAGGTGCACATTGTCCATAGATTTTGTTTATCTTTTTAAGAATTTAATTTCTTATAGAAACTGATTTAACTTTTTTAATTTCTTATGAAACCGCAAATTTTTCACTTTCAGAAATAAGAACCACTTGCGTCACCTAGCACAGCAGTAAACATAATAAGTTGTAACAGTTTTAGGGATGGGACCTCTGTTACTTGAAGGATGACAATGTTTGTTGTGAGGTCCGTCACTGGCTGTTGGACATTGACTGAACGTACTGTCTTCCCCAGAACTCTATTCTGAGTTGACTCTCGTGGATCGTCCAATTAAAGGGTGTAACAACTGTTCAAATATTATTTGTTCTCTATGCCGAATGGAAGAAAATTCCACTAGCTGTCTCACAAAAACTTATTAAAAGCATGCTTTCCAGGGTTAGTGTATCTTGTAGAGGCTCACAAATATTGAATATAAATACATTTTTTATTTCCTTTCCTCACTGGAGTCGTAACACTTATTAGTAGAGCTTGACGATTGTATTTTTTTAATACAGGGATTCAACTCTAGCTTTAAGTTTTCAAATAGGATCTAGGTTCAGAACAGTACTGTTTATTTGGTTAATTCAGTTGTCCCCATACCACTTTATAGAGGACTTAGCAATATGACAGTTTTCATTGTTTTCCTAGAAGCAACATTGATCTAACTGTAGTCAAAATCAGTAGGCTAGGTGATTGCAATAAATTTAGATCAATGGTCCCTTCCTAATAGAACATCCAAAACTATAATTTCATCTTCACTGATAGGTATTAGTTAATGTCCATGCTTTAATTTTTAAGTTATTGTTAAAAATACACTAATTTACTTTGTAAAAAGCATTCTTAGTGTAAAACATTTCTCTCTGGAAATCTCTGAAAATGGTCACATCTTAATTCTATAAATGCAAGTTATGCAAAAATTTACTACATAGAAAGTGGTACTTGATTTTAAAAAAAAAAATGTGAAGTCTTTCTGTATTTTTTAATTTTAGAAATGAAACCTCTGAATGTTTTAACAATGTTCATCAATGCTTGTTTTGAATTCATTCTAACTACTAAAGAAATATGGATACTAATTTATGATTTGATTCACATTTCAGTGTATCATCCGCTGTACCCTCTCCTGCTCAAGAAAAACCGGTTACTTCAGTCGAAGGATTATTGTCTCCTTGTTTCCCGTCCAAATCACTGCAAATGCCCGATTTTACCCCACGCTTGGGGTTGAACGATGCTGTTCCACGTTTTTCTGCCGAAACTTTTGCCAGTACTATTCCTTTTCAAAGAAAGTGTAGCATTGTTCGAGAAGAGGAAGATGCATGTAGCACTGCCAGCGGAGCCTCATCTCCTGCCAAATCACCATCAAATGAGAATAAAAACCTTCGGGAGCAACTAGCAAAGTTAGAAGAGGATAATGACGAAACATCAAGCCAGTGTTCCAGTGCGTCTGAGAAAAAGTCATCCCCAAGACCATCTTTTTCTTTGCCAGTACCCAATATTTCTACTTTTTCACCTGTAATTGAGAGTTCCAAACCAGTGGTAGAATCAGTTCTTAAAAGTACTGGTCCAAATCGAAGGTTGCATTCTGTCCAGAGTTCACCCCAGCTACCTTTAAATGAAGTCAATGAAGAAAAGGATTGTGCAGAAAGAGCAGTTTCTTTACGACTGGCAGCTATAAAAAAGAAATATGTTGGCAAATTGCAAGGGCGTAGTACAGTCACATCTCACGTACGAATGAGAATGTTTGAATTTCAGCATAGGAAAGAGAAGCTAGATGGCACGTCAAACCAGGAAGAGTCCCCAGAAAAGCGACATGCTCTTTCTTGTGAGAAAGAGTTTAAAAATGATTGCATGAGTAAGGAAAAGAATTGCTGTTCACAAAGTAATTCTGCTAAAGAGTCTTCTAAAGAACTTGAAGATCCTGGACGTTGGAAAGCCTCGACTTGTAGGAAACAGAAAAAAGCATCATTCACTCACTCCGTTTATTCAACAGAAAGTACCGACAGTTTAGATTTTCTTTCGGAAGGTCAGCCGCGCTTGACCAACTCAATGAGTTGTGGGGATCTGTCAGCAGATACTGGTCATTTTTCTTCTCAGGAAAAATGTTCTGTGGTTAGATCTGATAGTATTTCACTTACGGAAATTCCGCAAGCTTCCTCCTGTGAACTTGTGGAAGAGAAATCTCATCCTAAACTTTTCCCTGATAGTACATTCAATAGGTACACATCATCCATTGGTAATAGTGTTAGTTTAAACAGTGGGTTGAGTTCTTTGCAAAGGCATAAGTTAAATCTTAAAAGCGACCACCATAGCTCACATCCAGACAAAATCTCTGATAAAAATGGGCGAACTTCTACTCTAGGACGGTTAGTTTACTCAGGTAGCCGGTCTGCCAACAAGCAAAGGCTCGACATCAACCAGAATGGTTGGAAAAAGAATGAGCGCAAGAAAGATCTTTCTGGTAGTCGCAAAAGCAGAGGGAGTCAACAGGCCGTTGTTGATATGAAATTAGCCTCAAAATGTTGTACTCTATGTTAACAAATATTTATATTGTTATGTTGATGATCTGTACAATGAACATTTTTAATGTTGGCTCTCTGTGTGGTAGAGTCTTCCGTGAGAGTGTTGTAAAATTAACCCTGTACATATGATCCTTCTTCCTGTAAAATATGTTGAAAAAGAGCTCAAAATGCTTCGTTATTTATTGTTTTTATAGTCATCTGTAGTGTGGTTTTTAATGAATTGTAGAATTTCATTCTTTTTAACTGTGACTATTGCTTTTACTTCTGTTATATCGACCATATTTCTTACACTTGTCAAATGGAGGCCAGGTGTCATTTTATGTGAAAAATAAAAATAAAAATTTTGTCGTATGAGTGGGTTGATTTTTACTTTTTTTAAAAATTGAAATTGCCTGTGGTGGGAAAAGTTGTGTATTGACATGAAATGTTAGTAAAAAAAATTGAATTGCAATCAAAATATATTTGTCATTCACATATATGATACAAATATTTTTGCTCAGTACTAAGTCTATTAAAGGCAGATCAACAGCAATTTTTCTGAACTTCACAATCGATAGTTGCTCATGTGTATCAATAAGTTTCCCTATAAAACCACAATATGTAAAAGGACTTGTGTTTTCACCTAGATAAGGGTGGTAAATATGACTTAATATTATTTTTGTTCACAAACAAAGACAAAGCACAACTTTGAAATTCTTACTTCTGCAGTTGATTAGAAGTTTTGATTCATAATAAAAAATGATATATTTTATAAAATGCACCATTTAGAGAAATTAAATCCAGCCCTGTTGAGGTCTTAAATATCGTATAATATCAAAATATTTTTTTCGTGAATAAGGAATCTTACTAGGCAACTATTTTCTCTAGTTGATTACAAAAATTTAAATGTGAAAAATAAAAATATTTTTTAAGAAAATATTATTCTATATTTTATTATAAAATATAAAAATATTTTATAATAAAATATTAATTAATTTAAAGATGCTGACAGAGGGGGCAAATTTGATTTAGAAATAGAACAATTTTTTTAACAAACATTTGATGCCAATACACAATTTTTTCCACCACTGGAAATGTTGATTTTTGAAAAAAAAGTAAAAATAGACTCATCCTAGTATCTAATTTTAAGAAGTGCATTCTACCATAAAGAGATTAATCTCACTAGCTTTACACTATAAAACGTTTTTACATGTATTTCTGTTCAGTCTTCTATTTTGAAAAAATCTAGATTTGTCAGCAAAAGTTTTATTTGTAGTATTATATAAATGAGAAACAATCTTTGTATGAAAAACAATCTTTGAAAATTTTCAGTGTGTTAAGTTTCAAAGTGCATTTAGTAAAAATAGTCAAATGAGTAACCTTAGCTTCACTTTTATCTATAACTTAAAATGCCAAGATGCATGTAGTTTATATAAATATTGGAAGCTTATAGTTTTCTCTGTGATTCTAGTGTCAGAAATTAATATATTTTAAATTTTGCGTATTGCAGTTGAGGAACACATTAAATAATAATTTTTGAGTGTTTTTGGAATAAAAATTGGTTTTAAGTGCATTTTGCAACAATAGTCGACAAATATCCTTTTCTTTACGCCTTCCAATTAAAACACAAAGACTGAGAATGTCTTGTAATTTTCCGAATTGGAAGTTGACTGACAAAAAATAAATGCAAGGTATTCTACAAAGAAACTTTTTAAGCTTATTAACTCCTATTCACTTCATCGTTTCAGTTCTATTTACATTCAAATTTTTAAATAATTTATCGTTTCATTTTCACTAATATAAATTCGTTAAATTTAGATATATTTTTTTTTTAGAAGAAAGCCAGTTAGTTGAATCAACTTATATAATAAATACTGTTATATAAGTCTTGTTTTACTGTGTATATTTTTCACTAAATATTAGTTGTGAGTAATTCAAGTTGATTATAATCTGATTTGTGGCATAATAACTTACTGACAAGGCAATTTTCAAAAATTTTACTGTTAATTATTGCTTTTAATTTTCCTGAATAAACCATAAAATTTTTACTATGAACTTAAAGTGTTTTTTCTTTCAGATATTTCATATTTTAACTTCAAAATAATGGGTTAATATTGCTAGTTATATAATATTTTCCATATGTCATAAGTTAATTCTTTCAATGTGTGCGTGCTAGAACTATTTCCAAATTATACATTTGAGTAAGTTTAAAAGTTGAAAAATGCTGACACATCTACATTTTTATGAATAACGAGTATATAAAATGACACTTACTTTGCTTGAATGATATGGCTTCTTTGAAAAGTTAAAGTTGTGGTTGATACAAACAACTACTACCTTTTATTTTTTCAAATCTGTTGTGGCAAACTGTGAACAATAAATATTTTAGGGGACATCCCAGTAGCTCTACTAGTCAGTTGAGTGATTTGCTCGCAAATTTTTTCATTGATGGTTAAAACAAAAGTCTATCAGTTGTTTCAAATCAAGATCTGTAAAATTGTAACAAGATATCATTCTTATAGTGATCTGAAATGCAAATAAAAAAAGCAGGCTATTCATCTTTGGTTATAATAAAATGGTTTTGCAGATGGTCAGATCAATAGCATATTGTTTCCTAATTTTCTGTTTTGTGAAGCCTTATTTTCAAATTTTGTAAAACTTATTTACTATCAAATTTGATGATAAATGATGATTGTTTGTTAACTGCAAATGAAATTTTGTAAATTGTTTTACTCTTGGTTTCAATAATATCGATAATATATATATATATATTTTTAAATAAAAATACTATATAAGGGTTTGCGTATAAAAAGTTTTTTTTTTTTTAATGATTAAAATTGAATAGGAAGTTTTTCTTTTGTAGTATTTTTGTTTCGTAACACAGTCATTGTTTTTACACCCCAATTTAACTATGTATCTTTAAAATTTTAGTAAAATAACTGAATACTTATTTAATCTTTTTATTTCAATGATAAATTAAATTTATTAATCTCCTATTTCTTAGGTTTATGTAAACAAGCATACTTATAATTAAATTTTTAAACAGTTTTAATATTCACTTTGTTAGGGATTATTTAAACCATCAGTTCCCAAATGGTATTTTGCGGAACCTTAGGGTGCTGTGGAAAGGTCGCAGGGTTTCTGTTAGAACCTTTTTTTCTACTTTAATTAGTAATGATTTTTGAAACCTATAATAGGTTTTATCTAACCAATAATCCATTATTTATTTAATATTAAGATTATTCTTATGAACTTATTTGTGTAAAATTGCAATACAAATGAAATAACAAATTTTAAAAATTATATTTCTTCCAACAACAATATATTGAATAAATTGCTAAAAAGATATGTATTTATAAATTGCATTAATATTTCTTATCAAACTTTGAAATTCAAAATAAATTAACCAAAGTCAAGAATAACGAATTAATTTTATCTATTAACCATTCTCGCAGTTTAATGTTCTTCAAAAACTATAATTCACCTTATTTTATTCAATTTCAATTTTCTACAATTATTATTATTTTGTCTTTTTTAGCATATTTACACCTGTTACAAACATTTTTTAAATTTTTTTTTCTTTTTTAGCAGGTTATTCAAAAACAGGATAATTTTGTATCAATAAGAAATAGTTTGAGTATTATTTATTAATATTATTGTTAGTTTTACTTTGTTAATAATCAACTGACATATCATTTTATCAATGTTTCTCTTAGTTTCATTCAAGGTAGTAACAAGAGATGAGAAGAAGAAAAAAAAATCTATGCTTCAAATGAATGTTTTGTGAGTGATTTATTATAATTTAACACTAAATTAAATCAAATCTAAATTTTTTCCAACAAAGTTTTATTTTTAAGAATATTCCAAATTTTTATGAATAGAGAATTCAGTCTTGATATTTTACAAAGCTTTACTGAATATTTGCAGTGCAAATTTGTACTTAATTTTTTCTTTAACTCTAGTTATCTGATGGCAGTAGGTCTTAAAAAGCCATTATTTCACAAGTTTAATTATTTATATTTGCTACACACACACACAAAACGTATAATTTGCTTGGTTTGTATTTTTAAAAAAAAATTATAACAGTTATTGTTTAAATTTAAGATACTTTGTATACCAATTGTAACGAAACTTAGCTGGACTAGTTGATAGTTCAACATGCAATTAAGTCCTATATAACTAAATTTAAATCAGTGCTACTCTGTTGCTAATTATTTGACTCAAACTGATTAAAACGTTTATTTTTATATATACTTTTTTGTCACAGAAATTAGTTTAGCTTAACGGAGATAATCTGAAATCTGTTAAAATGTATATCAGTTATATATTGAAGATATTGTACCCTTTGACATAGATGACACACCAGTATCTCTTTTATATATATGTTTTTTCTGATGCTCCAATTACAGGCAAAAATAAATTTTGGTATTTTTTAATTATAAAAAACGATCTCATAATTACTAAAAAAAATCTCTGTTACATTTTATTTGTACTAAAATATAGAATCCAAAAAAAAAAAATAAGTTTTAAAAATTCTTTTTTAATACATATTTAAAAATTTATCAGCTTTGAAAAATAAAATAAATTTCAATGAGGAATAACTGTTTCTTTTAGATCTAAATAATTGCAAATGTGAAAAATCATTGTTTTGAAGTGAGTAGTGTTTAGAAACCTTTAACACAGCATGTATATGTTTGCCTTTAAAGCAGAAAAAGACACCAGTGTTTTATGTTGTATTTATAACTATAAACAATTAAAATGCTAAATATAATATTTGTCACTTATTTTGACCTTAATTACAACGAAATGAAAGAAAAAATATGAATAACAAGTTTAATAAAAATTCTGCATCAAAGGGCAAAAATTTTGTAATATTCCTACTTTTAAAAAAAAAAGTCAGTCTTATTTGATGAGTGTTTAGTTATGTGACGGTAAATATTGTACTGAGCCACTTGTGAGTAGTACTAAGTCACATGTGCAAAGAGGTAATAATATTATTTGCTTAAGATGAAACATTAGGCCTTGTTTAACTATTCAAAATTATGAGACCCATTTTTTCTGATACTAATGACGATAGTTGTACAGAAATTAATANGTTTGAAGTAAATAATAGAAATGTATTAATAAAAATAAGCATGTTTTTATTATTAGTCTACGAGTCAAATAGTAATTTATAGTGGTAATACTGATTTAAATTCAGTTGTCTAAGGTTAAAATTTGTCATCTGCAATTTTTGAGAAAATGGGTTTTAAAGTTGCGTGTTTAAACAATGACTGATTCTCTTACCTCAATTTCACTCTTTTAAGCCTTTTTATTTTTTAAATATTTGTTTTAATTTTCACTTTTTTTAAAAAAAAATATTAGAGATTGTTGTGGGATGTCTCTTTTTTTTAATAAACAGAGTGCCAAATCTTTGCTTTCTATATCAAAGTTGAAATAATTATTGATTATTTAGACTAGTTTAGATAAATTTTCTTAAACATCTTTCCTATAACAGTGTTTTTTAACTGATTGTTTTATTTCTTTTAAAACTTCTTAACCTCAATTTTTTTAATTATCTGTTTTCCTTTCCTGTTGTGTGGAACCAGAATGTATGTTTTTGCTTAAAAGTAATCAGTGATTGTTTTGATTTTTAAGCAAGATTTATTTATTGAATGTTTTTCTTTTGTATTGTTGAATATAAACACATATTTACATTGTCCTTAGAAAATAAATTATTAACCAAGATAGTTTACTGTTTTGTTATGTTTATTATTGGTATTTTTTTCTGTAAATTAAACGTTAAAAATGATATAAAAATATCAAAATAGTTCAGGTGAACCGGGTTCAAACCCCAGCGATGGCTGGTCGATACGAATTCCGCACCTGGCTCGTACCAATAACATGGCTGAAGTAAAATATCCTCAATGGTAGACGGTCAAGTGTTAGAGTCCCCTTTCCGTTAGGCTAACCGTGGGAGGTTTTCGCGGACTTCCTCTCCATGTAAATCAAATTTGGGATAGTTCCATCAGAAAGGTCTCCACGAAGGAAACTTTCACTAAATACTTGATCCAGGAGTTCCCTTGTCTTCTGGATTGGGTTCAAAATTACAAGGCTATGGAGTTGAACATTAGTAGTTGTAAACTTAAAATTTGGGTCGGCTGTTCAACGGGTGTTATAAAATGAAATAATTATCTATTTTTATTAGTAATAACCGCCAACTTTTTTAATTAATAGCCAGTTGTTATAATAGTAGCTAGATTCATTACTTTAATGATAATATATATTACCTTTTACAGAATTACCAAGGTAATAATAGATCACGATTTTTAATTAATTTGCTAATCCTAATTAATTTGTTAACTGTTTGCGTTTGAAACAAAAATGTGTAATTTTTATTCGATCATTTTCAAATTTTAACTGAATATTGGTAGCATTAATGGAAGACTGTGTACTATGTTTTAGAAAAAATTATTATTAGTTTTAAAGTTATACGGACCACACCCTGAATAACTTTTGATCTAATGATCGGATCTTTACGTTATAGGAACTCATTAATCATGGTTCAAGGGTGTGACCTCGAATATGCTAATTACTTAAAGCAGATGATATTTTAAGTTACGAAAGCATGCACAAAAACGTACTTTCTATGGCCAAACATGCCTTTTTTTCGATTGATTATGACCCAAAAGATTTTGAGGTCCTAATAGTTTGATCAGGAGAGTGAACCAAAAGGTTCGATCCCTTAAAAGTTAATTTTACTTTTTGCGTATTTCGCTATATCTTGAGAACGTTTCAAGCAATATTGAAAACTCTTTGCACTGAATTATAGAACTCATTTGTCCAAAGATAATTCTATGCAAGAAATTATTAAGCAAATATTCTTTATTATTTTATTTAATGAGTAATCGAATTTCGAAAAAGTCGTATCTTAAAAATTTGACTTCTCAGTTACTGTTAGACTGATTTATCTCAAATTCTGTATTTTGTCAAGTAAAATTATATTCTTTAAAATGATATAAGAAATTGTATACCTTACAATTAAAATTTTTTTCGACTAATATAGAAAATAAAAAATATTTATTGCAAGTTATTTTTTTGCATGGAATTATTTTTGGATAAATGAATTTTATAATTGTGTGCAAAAAATTTTCAATTCGCTTAAAAATTTCTCGAGATATGGCGAAACATGCAAAAAGTATATCAACATCAAGGGGCAAAAACTTTCGACAGCTCTCCTGACCAAACTATTTGGACCAGATGGTTATAAAACAGAGTAAGACACTAAATTAAATATGATTGTTGTGGCTAGGTCTTAGCGTCCTGCATAATAATTTCGTGAAAAAGGCATAGTTTGCTATAAAAAATTTTTTAATTAGCATTTTACTTGGCTGAGCAAAATATTTGCATTAGTCGGTAACATATTTGTCGCAATAAATATGTTCTACCCTTCGCCTTTGTTGCTGAAAATATTCTAGAATGTCTAAATTTAATTTTTTAAGCTTAATAATTCTCTAAACATATTTTTAGTAATTATTTTTTTTTTATCTCTTATTTTTTCTATTACATATAATTCGAAATTTTTATAATGAAAATAAAATATGGTTAAAATATAATAGTAACTATGAAGTGTTCAAATTCAATGACTGTTGTTGTTGTTAATTTACGTCGCACTAGAGCTGCACAATGGGCTATTGGCGACGGTCTGGGAAACATCCCGGAGGATGATCCGAAGACATGCCATCACAATTTTGATCCTCTGCGGAGGGGATGGCACCCC